TTTCAGCTACCTTGAGAGTGTGATGTCGACTGATCAGCAGCTACACAGTGCGCTGCGTATTCGAGTGTCGAAGGCGGCAGCGGCATTCGGGAAGCTTGAGTATCGAGTGTGGAACAACCATCAGCTTACCATTGGCACAAAGCTGGTGGTGTACAAATCCATGGTACTGTCCGTTCTTCTATACGGCAGTGAAACGTGGACGATGTACCGGCGGGATGTGCGATATCTCGAGCGGTTCCATCAGCAGTGTCTGCGACGGATTTTGCACATCGGTTGGGGCGCCAGAGTTGCAGACACGGAAGTGTTGCGCCGAAGTGGGATGTATGCAGCGGACTGCATACTTTTACTGAGACACCTGAGATGGCTCGGTCATATGTGGCGTATGGATTCGACTCGGATACCGAAACAACTCTTATACGGTCAGCTGAGTATTGGGAAGCGGCACGTGGGGAAACCAAAGTTACGTTACCAGGACATGATTAAAGTGAGCCTCACACGTTCTAATCTTGATTGCAGGTCATGGGAATCGAAAGCGGTTGATCGGCGCGTATGGCGCGATCTGATCACGAAGGCAGTTGCTGAAGTGCGGGAGAAATCCCTCATGCATGCAGAGAAGAAGCGGCAAGTGCGGAAGCGGCAAGAACCGATGGATTGTACTCCATCGACATCGAGTGCATGGTGCTGTAGCACATGCGGTCGCGAGTGCCTTAGTCAGGCAGGCCTAGTGAGCCATGTGCGAGGCCACTCGGGACTACTACTAACTCGCCGACGGACTTTCTCATTATGGACGTGATGCTGCCACCGAACACCAGCAATGGTTCGCAGGCAGCGGTGATCGAAGACAGAGAGCCGTTGAACATCGCTTTTGCGAATGGGCCAAGTCTCAGCCGTACAGCAGAATCGCTCGTACCGTACCATTGCAGACTCGTCCCTTGAGAGCGAGGCTGAGGTCACGAGGAAGTCACAGGTGACGAAAGTTAGCGAAAGCGACTCTAGCCTTGGAGACACGCAGGGATATCTCATCTGTCAAACCGTCAATACTAAGACAACTCCCAAGATAAGTGAATGTCGACCACTTCCGGCGTATACCTCGAAAGGGTGAGAGGATGTGCACTTGGCCAGTCCTGTAACAGAACCTTACATTTGGAAGGGGAAAATGTCAACCCAAATTGACTTGTGGCGCTTCAGTAAGCGAAGCATATTGGAAACCTCAGCCTGTCGGTGGAGAAAAATCCACGCACCAGGGAGAACTGTGAACCCCGGAAGATAGACTCAGTTGCCCTGGTGGCCAGTTGAACTGATCTTCAAAATGCTCTACCCATCGTACCAGACGATGGTGATGACTGTGAATTAATTCACCGTCATTTTCGCGCAAAATCTCATTCACGGTTGGTTTTCTGCCTCCTGTGGAGCGAATAAGTTGGAAGAGTTTGCGGGAATTTCCTGATGAGGCCGCCCGCTCCATCTCAACGACGCGCTGTCCACCAAACCTCGTGAGCCTTCCTGAGGAGCTGTCTGAGCTCAGCACCTGTGCTTCCGCGTAGTGCTCTGTACTCAACTCCGGCAGAAATTTTTCTTTGACTTTCCATTAATTGGAGATTATGCAGATATCCAATGACCAGCGGCTCGTCTAGTGAAGCCCCAAACCAGGGTAGCGGACTTTCGTAAGGCGTTCTGGATCTGTCCCAGTGTGTCTCAACATCGGAGGGTAGAGAACGCAGGTTGGAGGTTCTGAAATGCGCCGAGAACATTTGGGGCAGCGAGCTTGTCCGTGTCAATCCGTTGCCGATGAGGCTGTGTGGTGCCTCCAAAGCGCAGAACGAACTTAGCACATATGAGCGCATGATCCGAAGTCAGGTAATTGTATCAAATTGACTTGCAGTACGTTATACAGCCTCGCCAACGGTAACTAACAGCGATGTGGTCAATTTGCGTCCACGATTGACCAGGCGCCGGTGGTCGCCAAGTGCAGCGTTGGCGCCGGGAATGTCGGAAATTGGTGCGGGAAAGGAACAAGCCGTGGTCAGGGCCGTCCGTTGTCCGTCTTGCGACTACCGTGGCTGTGTTGACCCCAAAGTTCGCGCTCATGAATCTCTAGTCTACCGACCTGCCCATTTAGGTCTCCGGCGAGTATCACGATGTCCGTGCAGCGTTTCTTGTGGAGGAGGACGGTGAGTTGGCGGTAGAACTCGTCTTTAGCCTCATCCGGGCTGCAGTCCGTTGGAGCGTACGCCGCCACAATGAATAAGCAGCGCCTACTGATCCCGTGGACGGAAGATCGCATTGAGTTTTTCGAGCGGACTGCAAAAAGACGGCTGTTGTCAGGGAACCAGTCAATGAGCACTGCCACAGCACGCGCGCTTAACGTAACCAGAGGTTGCCGCTGTCGCATCTTCAGGTAAGCGCAAGATGAATGTGCAGTTGGAACATGGGGATGATGAGTACAATCGTAGCGTTGTGTTGGAGTCTTGTAAACGGGTTTCGGTTAGGCAGAAAGATTCGTGCAAGAGAAGCTTGTGAACCAAGCTGCATGAGCGTTCGAGCATTGAACGTAGCTATCTTGAAGAGCGAGCGAGGTGCAATAAAATCCTTGCTGTTGGCAGTGGAAGGCGTGCGGGCGGTTGTGAGCGGTTCAATGATGAGGCCAAAGGTACACGGTACACGTTGAGGAAATCGGCTCGCGAGCATGTGCAGAGCATCGCTAGACTAACGACGCGGTTCCAGTACAACAAGCATCCAGGCTACATAACAGTTATGTGGCGAACAGAATTACTAAATCGATTAACCCAACCAAGCATAAAGTGTATTTTTGCAAATATCGGCGGTCGAACATAATGATTCCTTCAAATCTTCATCAAGTAGACCAGATCTTATAAACCGACAGAACCGCGGTGCTTTAAATCCTCCACTAAGTCAAAAGGATTCTGCCCTGTCGTCTCCATAAGCCGTACAGGCTTTGAAAGGTCATAAGAGCCATGGTAAAGCGCACGGTGACTACTAGAGGCGACAAGCACACATAAATAAGTGAACAAATTGCTGTTCTATGGTTGTGAACAATGAGGGTGCGCCTGTATTAACCTTTCGAATCGCATGGCACAATGCTACAGACCATTCCATAGCGCTTGATTTGATACTTGTTCCTGATGTAAAGTGAGCATACTCGACAGAAAGCGGGGAAAGAAATATTGATTGTTTCCCTAAAAAGCTTGGAAAGAAACAGGGTAACCTTGACGTAGTCCACTTGTCGAGCCGAACAAAGGTATTCCCCACAGACCTACGTACGTCCCCAGGGGTCGTAGTAGAAGGATGTGACGATAGAAAAGATTCGGTCTGGAGTGCCCATCAAAGACTGATAGTTGCTCTCTTCTGGGGATCAGTGAGCAAGCTAGAAATTGTTGTTGACGCTGAAATCCCGGAGATCTTTACTGACAATAACGGCTGGTAACCAAAAAACAGTGTCTATCAGAGCTGATAGGGCGAGGTTCCACCGTTTCACAGAAACAACGGTTAGGGTCATTACAGTAACGTGGGCATCAACAGTACGCAGGTATGCAGTACGGTTGCACGTGGGCTAAGGATACTGAGAGGGTCGCGCGGTCCCCACCTAGGCTAGAACTCGCGACCTCAGATTACAAGGCAGGCTTGTGATCCTTAGGGCCACGTGCCGGCCGGGTCGGGGTAATTGTCAGGTGCCATCAGTACCAGCTAGTGTTTGACCTGGTTCATAGCGTATAGTACGTCTTGGATGATCCAACTGACAAATGACTCGACTCGGCTCTTTAAATTGCTCAGTCCAGCGTCACAATCAATGTGACTGAGTTAATGGTTGCAAATATTTAATAGCAAAATTTTCTGTAAGCGTAGGTCATCTTTGACTACCGATTTTAACTGATTTTCCATGAATGTTGCTGAAAGCTGCAAAGCACGACTTTCCCTATCGATGCCGCGTTGTCATACGACCGTCAATTTACATCGCCAGGAAAAATACCGTTACGCGAGAAGTGGGGCTAAGTAGCCTATAGGAGTCTATTTTTCGACAGATAAAATGTAAAGCAACCGATGGACACGAACGGTGAGGCCCACGGACCCCTGTCCGCACAGATGGAATGCCAGCCGTCCCATTTGGGCGTTTCTGGTTACTCGCAGAGGCTAAGTTAATATGAAAAGAAATGGCGTGATGTGTCCACGTATGTCGTTAAATACGACTATACCTCTAAAGCATCTCCGTCTTTTGCCTATAAGATGTTGCGTTTTAAAAAATAGTGGTAATTTCTCTCAACGCGAGTGACCATTGGAGCACCCTGAGTGAACAATTTTTGTGGCTTGGGCCGTCCCAATTGGACACTATTTGGACGAATTTTGGTCACTCGAAGTATTTTCGGCTTAGCTTAACGGCTATTGTATTATGTACTTAAAAGTTGGAAATCAATTTCTGTTTAATGTTGACGGTATTTTCTGTTAGAAAAAAATGCATATACGGTGTAAGGTAAGGGTTCATTGAAATAACATCCTGGGTCGTCCTCACTAGGACGACTTTTGGTCACACAAAAACACCTGTTCAGGTTAACGGCTATGCTATTGCGTGATTACAATTTGGGAATCGATTTCGCCTTAATGTTGACGATGTTGAAACTAGGAAAAATGCACTCAAGGTACATGTTAAGGATGGGTTGTTAAAAAGCATTCTGGGTTATCAAAAGTCGTCCAAAAGTGTCCAATTGGGGCGGCCGGGGACATATATTTGTCACTCAGGGACGTCCAAAGTCACTACAGCGGACACTTGGTTACTCGTGTGGACAGGGAAGATACTAGTCACGAGCAATGAGGACAGAAAGAAGGGATCACTGAACTCACTGTGATTTTTGGATATCTTAGCGATAATTTGTAGATCCCATCCAGTTCATGTTCGTGGCTAGAAAGCCAACAGGCAAAGCCAGCGAATACAAGATTTGGATGATTTTCCACTAGTAGCCTACAAGTATACGTTAGAAGAAAAGAATTTACCTTGCATCTTCAAATCTCAAACCGAACTGGTTTCCTGACAGGTCTATGTGCGTCAGTTCTGGTAACGCTGCTCCAGAACAAAGTGTTTCCACAGCGTCAAACCTAAGGTTGACAGGGCCGTGTCTATCGGAAGCGTCCAAAAACTGAAGCTTATGCATTTGAACGATGGTGTGAAGGAGAGTTTCTACTTCTTCTCTCTTTTCTAGCTCCAAACGGTGCATAACTAGCCCAGTTAGACGGTCACGTATTGACAACAAAGGACGGATGTCGTTAACGCGAGTACGCGATATGTTGAGGAAACGCAAGTTCGGTAGATCATCTGCGACTATCTGCAAGTTGGGTGTCGCAAACTCAGTTCTGCTGACATTAAGCACTTCAAGGCTTTTAAACCTTCCAAGAGCGGCGAGAATGGGCAAAGAGCTGCCAGAAAGTATGGATGTTCCAGTTACATTGAGGCTGATAAGGTTCTTCACGGTCCACTCACCGAGACATCCAAGAAGAGAATTGAGATTAACATTTGGTAGATTGACGGCAGAAAGGCCAGACAGACGAAATTCTTTGAGAACACGAAGCGCAGAAGAACTAACACTAACCTCCTTGATGATGGGAGACGTCAAGTTAAGAAATTCCGGAGAAAATAGGCACATTCGATCATCGTCGAGGGCATTGCGTTTGCATAGCTGAATGAGAATCTTCTGCGCTGGTCGCACGCTAATGTAAAATTCAGGGTAAGGGAAGCACCATCTTTGTTTGGAACCATCAAAGAATGTGAGAGAGTTGAGGTTTTTACAAACATGACGAACGCATAAATCTTCCAAGGATACCACGGGATCTTCTGCAAAAATAACTGCAATGTTCAGTAATGTCCAAAATAAGCCAAACAGAATAATGAGACTGAAACATACTTTTGTCGTGCAACGAGACCATAACCCGGTCAAAAGTGCATGGGACTGCGCCACTAATCGGTCTGCATCGGGGCTGATTGCTACTTTGGGTTACACCAGTGTGTCAACTGACTAAGGAAAATGGTAGTGTAGCAATGCGTTTAGCTGGCAACAACGCGCCTCGGCGATATGGTAGTCGGTCAGATAGTTTATTAGCGAAGGATGGTAACCGACGCCTTTTAATCTCCAAACCAATTGGAAAAGATTTACTGCCAAACGAAATTAATTTTCCATATCTAATCTGCGAACAGTGAATATGTGGAAACGAAGTGATTGCTGTGCGAATTATCAGGAGGCCTATGTTCTGCTAATCTGCGCCATCATTTTAAGGTTAGTGGAAAACTCTTCCACTATTTGTAGGGACCAAATTATGTAAAAAACCGGCGAAGAAGTGCTGTAATCGTGTTATGCAACTTTGTTTACCTATACAAACCTAAAACAGTGCAATGAACTCGGACTTTTGTAATCTCTGCTTTCACGTTGTTTGGACGGACCATTTTCAGATAACATAAAAGTCATAGGTATAGCCCGAATATAGCTTAATGGTGGAGTTCCGGATCATCAGCCGTGCGGCCGGGGTTCAAATCCTGTGTGCGTCGCTTCTGTACTCGAGCTGGCGGTACATAGATTAAACTTGTAACTATACAACAGATTGCGATGATCGATGCGCAAGCATAACAAGCAAAATTTAAAACTTTAAAGTGCTTCTGTGCTCGTACGTCTACAGAAAGGCCTGTCTGCATTCCAATCATCCTTGCAGAACGATTTTAAATCTGAAGGCCCACAGTACTCTTGTCTACCGCGCGCAGTTCGAAGTTCGCGGGGTAGAAGCATTCCCCCATCGCAATGAGTCAGGACCATGGTGCTATGGTTTGTGTGCACCAGCGATCCGCTGAGCTTTGCTGATTGGCGCTTTTTGCACCTTCAGAGCCACTCATACCAGACTGGTGAAGGGTTAAAGGCCAGACAAAGTCAGCCTCCTGATCCTCCAGGGTGAGAGTTGGTATAAGCGTGGCCTCTTATTCTTTAAATGGGACTCCTTGTAGCCAAACGTCAAACCCGCTACCTGACGGTCAGGTTTTGAACCAAAGTATTGGTTGAGAACCCTAATCGTTCTCCTGTCTATGCCTGGGCAATCTGACAGTATCCTCCCCACTCAATATTATGAATCATTCGTCAAACAATTACTTGTTGCTTTGGCCACCGCGGAGGATAATCAACTGTGCCCTATTTGCTGAATCGAACACGGTGGATAGGGGTTGAGATGCTAGTACTCAAGCCTGTCCAGTTTCTATTTCCCTATCTTTCGCATTTACCATCCTACCACCTTCACTTTTATCCCACCCTGTTGGCAACCCCCCAATACTTGGGCTTCACCCACCTTGCTTTGATAGGCGTTTACTTTTTAGTTTCAACTCACATGTAAACATGGAGCGTCATTCCTGACCTCTCGACAAGTCCATGTCCAAGCAAGCGTCCTGGCCCAGTTCATCGGCTTCCATTTGGACCCCTCAATCAGCCTTCAGTTTGGCAGACTTAGTGTACTCACATTACTGCAGAGCCGTCAACAGGCAGCACTTGCCCGAACATTAGAGACCCTCTCGATCGATAGCTGCTGCTTGTCGAGGATCCACTCGCAAGTCTCCAGCTCAGTGCTCACTTTGTGATGCCCTTCAGGTGACACCAGCAGTATTTTCTCATTGCACCTATCCGGTGACGATGCAGCTTCGAGCACCGGCCAAGCCGGTGTTGGTATCGCCCTGAGTCCCCGAGCTGAGGCTACTCTGGTTGACTGGATTAAAATCAGTAGCCGGTTGTGTGCAATCCGATTGGCCGGCTCGTTCAAAGCTTCGAAGCCGCACGGGACTAACAGGTGTTTATTCGTCATTGCTGCCTACGCCCCATCAAACTCTAGCGATGAATCGGTAAAAGACAACTTCTATCGCCAAATGAACGTGCTCTCTCGGCCCAGAAGAAGTACGGACACTGTTGTGCTGGCTTGGTATCTGAACGCTCAAGTTGGAAAATTATCCACTGATGAACTTCACCTGGGCAGCCGACATCGTGTAAGCTTCCGTAATGATAACGGTGATCGGTTACTTCATTTGTGTGAATTTGCTCGCTTATTTTTTATGAGCACTAATTTCCGACACAGCACCCACTTGAGGGTGACTTGGCGCACGCCAGCGTCGAACCAGCTATGGACGCAAATCGACCACATTGCGATAACTTACCGATGGAGAGGCTGCGTCCAGAACTGCCGCTCGATTTGAGGGCACATGTGTAGACACCGACCATGCACTTCTATATGCTGACCTGCGGATGCATATTGGATGACGCGCACAACGACGTTGTGAGCGCTTTGTCACCAGCCAACTGACGAAACCAGCTGTTCTGAATGTCTAGCAAAGTACGCTCCTATGTAAGTGGAGCAAACGTTCGGTGGAGGCAGCTGAAGCTCACTGGTAGCATATTCACCAGCTTTTACTCTTAGCAGGAAAACCCACTTGTGGTAAGTCTAACCTCCAATATGGACATAGGGTCTCTTCACAGTCTCTGGAACTTAGCGATGCTCGCCGGCCTATTCCAGCTGGATGCGAACACAATGAAACGCTCAAAGAGCTCTACGCAAGACTCCATGGTAGCATGAAGAGAGACGGCGAATCCTGGTGGTCTCATCGTGGTTCAGATATGGAAATGACTGCTGCGCTACGTAACCACCGTAAGTTATTCCGGCAGATATGGGAAACGGGCAGCAGGAAATCCGGTGTTAGTAAAAATATACTTGACGAGAGTGGACAGCTTACCCACAACTTATCAAAACTCCTGAAGCTTTGGTCTGAGCACTTTCCTGCAAAGTTTTCAGGGAACATCCCTTGCACCGACACTTGGCAAGTATTAGATAGAAGTCGGTTAAAGTTACCCCGGCAGCTATATCAGCGCATGTGGAATGCAGGCCGAAGTGGCAAAAATATATAGTTAAGACTTAAAGCTCTTTTTACCAACTACGTCACTTAAGATCTCGGCGCGATATCACTGCAGCTCCGAAGGGTAGAGTCACCAATGTAGCCATCCAGGTCGCTCTCCGAAGGTTTGTTGCCGGTTGACTGGAAATGTGCGGTGGTGAAGCCTATTCGGAAAGGCGGCGACCCTAGCAAAGTAGACAATTACAGGCCAATTTTCTGACACCTATATTGGCAAAGGTTGCTGAGAAAATCGCGAAGGAGAGATTATTGCCGTTGCTACAATCAAACGAGGTCCTGACGCCCGCACAGCACGGTTTTATGCAAGGTCGCTCATGCATTATGAAACTGCTTGTGACGAGGCATGAGTGGCTGAAGGCAATAAGCAAGGGGAAGTCCGTCGACGTGACATTCATCGATTTCAGTAAAGCGTTCGACAAGGTCCGTCATGAGGTTCGCCTTCACAAACTCAGCATGTGTGGCGTAGGTGGCTCACTGCACCGGTGGACCCGCGACTTTCTTGTTGGACGAAAGTGGAGGGTACAGGTCAACGACCATCTAACTGACTGGTACCCCTCTACAAGTGGCGTGCCTCAAGGCACTGTGCTGGGGCCCACTCTGTTCCTGGTCCACATCGACGATCTAGCTCAGCTTCTCCGGTCGCCGTGTGCCTTGTTTGCGGACATGAAGATTTAGAGAGAAATCGACGCTCCCGACGTCTGTGGCCTACTTCAGCAAGATCTCAACCGCTTATCCACATGGTCTGCAGAAGTTCTTCTCCCGGTCAACCCAGCCAAGTCGGTATTTATGAGCCTGGGGAATGGTGCAGACGGCCGAAACTACACCCTTGACGGACAAAAGCTATATCCCACACCCTCCGTGAAGGACCTAGGTGTACTCTCATGCTACGATTTGAAGTCCGCGGATAACACAAACAGGCTATATCGTAACGGACTGCGCATGCTTTGGGCGCTCAAACGTAGCTTTGGCACATGGTCTGAAGCGGTTGCCACTCGCCTGTTCTCTTCTATCATTAGACCAATGCTAGAGTACGGTTTGCCCGTCTACTTTCCGATTACCCGACGCGAGGCACAAAAGGTCGAACGGGTCCAACACGTTGCTACCAGGCTGATCCCGAGTTTACGTGGCTTTGGGTATGAAGACCGGTGCGAGAAACTAGGACTCTACACCTTGTCCTACCGTCGGGTGCGAGTCGACCTCATTATGACCTACCGAATTCTACATCTCGGTGAGTTCCCCACGTTACGGCCAATGCTGCACTTACGAGGGCCCTGCAGCACACGCGGACACAGATACAAACTTGTTGTGCCGGGTATGAAACGTGTTCCCCACCCACTGTGCTTCGAATGGAGAGTGGTAAACATTTGGAACAGTTTACCTGAACATGTGATTGAGGCAACCTCTGTGCAACTGTTCAAACCGTTGTTAGATTTACATTTTGCCTCTATTCGATTCAGAGAACGACTGCACACTTAAGATGACATAACACATTTGTGAATCCTGAAATATCGTAGGTCGAATATTTTAAATATTACATGAGAACGACAAGGATATTCACGGTTGACAACTATTATAATGTTTTTCACAATATTTCGTAAGAGTTGTACAGAATCCATTTCTACTTGCTCTATAATACAGTATTCAGTATTCAGTATATCAGCCGTATGCTGGTACACCGTAATGATGCTTCACTGCTACACAACCACCACAATCGTAACTTCTCCCGGCTGCTACGGGAAACGGACATTCAGAGGCCTGTTGTTAGGGAAACTATACGTGATGAGAGTGGATAGCCTGTCCACAATTTGTCAAAACGCTAGGAGCGTTGGGCTGCAAGCTTTGAAAGGTAATTCAATCGGTCGGAATTGTTGGATTTCTCGCCTGCTACGGATCGATTCGCTTACAGGGCCGACCCTGTAGTTCCACACTCTCGCTCAGGAGTCGAACGTTTGATTGGACTGTTGAAGTTGAATAAAGCTACGGACCAGGTGCCCTACTT